GAGAGAGAGAGAGAGAGAGGGGCAGAGAGAGATGGATGTATATCTAGCCCGTGCCTCTCCTCTGCTGTCACTCAGTGCTTTGCCACTGACACGAGGAGAGACAATAAGTGGGCTGGCACAGTGAATATGAAAGGAGATGGCTTCTCCTGCTGGCTCTGGTCACAAGGAGACGCTGACCCCTGCAATTCAGACTCAGCTATTAGCCGCCACAGAGGTCCTCACTGTCTGAAATGTCAGTCTTAACAAGTCATTATTTATCATGTTCAGCCTTATGCGTTTGTCTGTTCGAGCTCAGTCGTATAGTCCAGCGTCTCTAATGAGGAGGCTGTGCCCTTGCTGCTTGGATAGCCCCGTTGTTGACTCTAATGAACCACCGTGGCCACTGCGTTTTGAATCCAGGGTCAGGTGTCAATCATGCGTTTGTGTTTATGGCGGACATTTACTGGCAGTTGAAGCGTGTCGTTTAAATATGAGAGTGAAAATGTGCTCTCAATACACGGGCACTCACAAAAGCAGTGGAGTAGAACGGGTGTGTTATTTGTTCGTGCTGGATATTATGGCTGTTCGCTTCACTCTAGAGGTGCTAAACATTACCGTCCTGCCGATGCAGCGAAATGATTCCACTTTCATATCTGAAGTATCGTGCTATTGTTCCACAGATGTCCTCGCAGAGGAAAGTCAATATCTGAAATCCGGGGAGCGTGTGAGGCGGATCGCTGCACTCCGCAAGTTCTCGAAACAAGTGAAGATCTCACCCTGTTTGCAGATTCACCCCACTTTTAACAAAGCTGTCAAACCCATTACTCTCCTTCACAACTCGTGTTCCCTCCTCCACTGACGCTTTACTCGGGTTTTGCTCCCTCTCCCTGAAATGTCTTTCCTTTAGCTCCTCTTTCCTTTGGTGTCATTTTCACCGTTCCTTTTTTAGTTTTTTCTACACCAATCCTCCGGGATATAGCTGAATAGAAATATCACCGTGCTCCAGAGCTACTCTCTACTCATTTTACCTGTCACATTCACACCGCTCACAAACCGCTCGCACTGTGCTTTCGGCCTAGCGCAAGGTGAAGAATCTCTGACGGTAATACTCTTTCCTCATTCTTTACCTCCTCTTTGTTCCATCACATGACACGTGTCTAGTTTCCCTTGTATTCCAGCAGAAGGATGCTAAGAGGGAACCCACGGCCACTTTCCATTTACAAATGAACGGACAGGAGATTGTTGCTGCGAGCTGCTGAAGTTAATTACACGTCACTATATTTTCAGCTCTCCCTCTCAGATCACTCTGTGGTCTAATGAGACAAAGACGTCGAGCACCGTCGCTGCCTTCATTTTCTTGCTGAGCATTATATAAAGTCAACATATTCCTTTTCATACCACAGTTTCTGACAATCCCGGTTCACGGCATACGGTCTGAAATGTATTCTTGTCCAATTTCACCTGCCTTCTCCATTCTACGCCCTCCCGTCTTTATTCATGGACTCCCGCAGGTGGTCAGGTCCTTATATATGCATACAAAAAATCGAGCCAACCTACCTGCGGGAGGGGGGGGGGGGGGGGTTTATCGAAGACTTTGTGAATAACGGGCCCGGCGAGGCCCCTGGGAACTCAGCTGACACGTAATTAAAGGCAGGGCTGACTGATTGACTGGCTCATTTTCATACCGAACGGTTAGAGAGGGGAAACAGACAGGCGGGCTGAGTCGAGGTCTCTTAAGGTAGACTGCTGATGAGTATTTCATGGCCACACTCTTAAAAATAAATAGAGGGGAGAGAGAGTCCCTCTGTATCACGCCCCCCACATGTCGCCAAAGATATCCCGGGCTCTGAAAGGAGGTTGAATCCATTTCCATAACCAAACCAGGATGGCACGAGACCTATTTGGATGTGCTTGACATTTCAGCAAAAGAGAGAGATAGAGGAAGGTGAGGGGCGAGGGGCGGGGGAATAGTGGTGGCTAACAAAGCGTTTTCAGCAGACCCTCCCGTCTGGGGGCTGACACACACACACACACACACACACACACACACAAGCAGTAGAAGTTACTAACAGGACTGGAAGCAAAAAGTGAAATTTCTTGTCTTTTTCAATTTGAAATGTTGATGCTCACGTGTTGATGAACCTCCCGAGCTCCTCCTGTATAGCTAACCTTCAACACATGATTACTTGGAATTGGATTAGTTACGTCTCCCTCTCATTCCACATGCAGCATGTCAGCGCTGCATGTGAGTGCCTTGCTCAATCTGTACCGTCCCGATGAAGAGAGCTCAGATAAGGATTTTATAACCCATAAAGGAGAGCAATGAGGCTGCTCTCCTTTCCAGAGCCTAGTTAAGTCCTCAGACGTCTGGCCGGCCTGTAAAAGCCACCGCCTCCCGGCCCTCCGCTGCCTAATGGCCCTGAAGGAAGATGAGTAAATGAAATGAAAGAGCACGAGAGAAACAAATGACAGTCGACCACTTTCCTTCACTCTAGACCTGATCGCATCACTGCAAAAAAAAACAACCTGGCAGCAGGTGCCACGCCCCGGGCCAGACCTGATCGATTGAGTGGGAGCAATCGATCAGGGCCACTTTGTCACTACAGTCGCTGAAGTTTTTTGGCCGGGGAAGGTTGTTTCCGTGGCGGCACCGGTGCCGCCGTCTGTGCTCGGCAGAAAGTCTCTTTTGATTTAGAATTGAGGCTGTTACTTGTTCCTGCAGGTAATTGGATTAAAAGCCAGAGGAGAGCTACAGGCAGGGGAGAGGGAGATGCAAGCGCTGCTAGAAATAATGACATTGAGAGTGTGAGTCTTTTACTTTGCCGGAGCAGTCTTTTAATGATTTATCCTGTCTTTTTTTCCTTCTTTTTCTTTCTGTGTAGGTGGAGGAGGAGGAAGAAGAGCGAAGGAGACAGGAAAGGAGGATCGAAAGGATAGAGCCAATAGGGAGGGCCGATTCCTCATTGGAACGTTCGCACGTGTTCAGTCTAGAGTGAGTGATCAACAACAACCCCCCGACCACCTAGATGACATACAGTATGTCTTTAGGTTGCTTCACCAACATTCTTTTAACTATATTTGTTTACCGGTTCTAGTATCTGCTTATGTAGATAGTTTTGATCTTATTTGGCGAGATAAGAGATATCTTTCTCAGATATATCTGCTGCCACAACAGACTTTTGTTTGCAGTGCTGTTCCATTTAAATAGATACCATGGCAGTGTTCCTGCTTTCATGGCAACTATTTTGTACCGTAGAAGAGTCCCTTTTAAAAACTGTTGAACAGTTTGAATTATGTGAAGTTTTAGCGTTTTTTTAAAGGGTAAATTTAAATCTTTTTTAAACAGGGTGGCTGCAGGAATCTCAAAACCTGGGCAGACAAAACACAACCCATCAACATGTCTAGATGACACCAGAGAGAGACCAGAGATTTTTATAATTTGAGCTTTTTATTTTTGACCTTTTAAATTAACACTGTCATACTAGAAATGTTAATAACTGCCAGCGCATCGTCACCAGACACCTAAACACAACCATGTGACCACATGACGAAGACAACACAAAGCAAACACAACGACCACGCCTTCCTCCATCAACATCGGCACACTCATGTGCATCAACGCTCGCTTGTGCTCATTTGTCTTCACGTCTTTATCTACACAAATTAACCTTCTCCCCCCCCCTCTACCTTCCACACACGTGGAATTTTCAATTAATCCGTCCACTTTTAGCACAACGATCTGATCTTAATCTCTTAATTGGAGTCTCCATTTGGGTCCCAAATCGACCCTGAGGTCCGCCAGCCTGACTTTGTAATGAATGACTTCATACAGACAACACAATGCAGCCTCCACCAATAAGGCCGCACCAACCCCCATCCCACACATCCGATCAAGGTCTTGTCATGTTTCACCGTGTCGTCTTTTATATCCCGCTTTTCTGCATTTTCTCGTCATTGTCATTTTCTTGTCGTTGTTGTTTTATTCACTCGTGTCTCTCCCCCCCCTGTGACTCCTCCCTCTTCTCGTCCCCTCGGCCTCATCCATCATCGTCCTGCAGAGGCCTGCTGAAGCCAGTCGAGGTGTCCAACGGAGGAGGGCCCCTGGGGATCCACGTATTGCCTCTCAGCTCGCAGGACGCCAGGTAAAAGAAAAGGAAATCTGAGCAGCTCAGTGTACAACAATAGCTAGTTAGTTTCGGCATCTCCTGCATCCTCTGTTTTGAAGCCCCATGGATGTTGCTTTTTATTTCACTATCACTCACATTTCTCTAGTTTCTCTTTTTTATTCCCCTCGTTTTACATGCTTGCTCCAGGCTGTCTTTTTCACTGACGCTTCTCTTTTATCCTAACCTATGTCCTCAGTCACAACGGTGTCCACACCGCTTTGAAGGTGATTCAGCTTGTTTCACCGCTTTTCTTTTGACTTTTTTATTTATTTACTTTTAAACGATGAGGAGTGTCGTTGACAGAGGACAAGAGGAGGAATGCGTCCCAGTTTACAGTTATTCCAGCAAAAGAATAAAGGGCAGAGGAAGCGGCCAGATGTAATCAAACTAAAAGCTTGTGTATAACACAGATTCCCCGCTGCACGCCAAGGGGCTGGCACACCACCAAGGTGATTGTGGCTACTCAGCGGCAGTGAGAGGGAGGCAGGGGAATGAGGTGAAAAGACAAAGTGGGGAGATGGAATGGGATGACATTTGAGAGAGAGAGGGAGGGAGAGAGAGGGGTTGGCTGTCATTGAAGATTGCTGCGTGTCATTTCTTTGGGACACTAATCCCATTGCTGTTTATAACCAAGTGTCAGGAAACTATATTTAGCTTTGACCTCGTGCGATTGACTCCCTCATAAGCTGTGGCACTTTTGAGTTATCCTGAGTCAGAGGAGGAAAGCGGTGATTCATGATGAGTGGCACCAAGCAATCTCGCTTAAATTAAAGTTCAAATCCAGCTGTTTATTAGCTATTATCCCCCGGCTCCTTATGTATCCCCACACAATCAAACTGCACCTTGCAAGATACAGCAGTAACGCCGCATGGCTAATCAGTTTCTTCCCCGTCCGCTAAGGTCGGCACTAATAGCCATCAGAGCCTTCAATTAACTTCAGACATGATAAGACTTAGCGTCTGGTCAGTGGGATGATGCTAATGGCCTGGCTCAGCTCTTTCCTGTGTGCTGGGCGCTAGGACAGGAGGCATCAGGCTCAGCGGGCTGTCATTAGTGTCTAGACCAGGGCCACAGGGGTCAGACTGGCCGCAAAACCAGACGGCAAACAAGCAACTGCAGGCGCTCCAGCGTCGCATTCTGCTCCACCGTACTGACATGAAGTAAGATCCAAGCAGGAGGGGGAACACAGTTACAGGAGAGAGCTCAGAGACTCCTGCAGGCAGTATCTCTCTCTCTCTCTCTCTCTCTCTCTCTCTCTCTCTCTCTCTCTCCCTCCCCCTCTCTCCCTCCCCCAAAAATGGACACACACACACACACACACACCTGGCAGATGCATTCTTTGCTTAATGAACTTCTCATTCCGTGACCAGTTTCAATTGTAAACAAACTGCGGACATAATTGCTGCGGATAAATGGATCCTGATTGGATTATTATTTGATTAAAGGCAGTGGATGAGAGCAGGTGGCCTCCTTCACATCACTTCTCAGCACTGCCGCCCGGCCACAAGATGGAGTCAATCCATACAACGTAGCACGATGCGGATGCTTGTGTTTTAGGAGCAGTGAGACTTGATCTTTTTCTCAAAAGTTTTGCAGAGAATCGTCTTAACTACAAACTCCTCGTGCTCATATCTGACACCTAATTAATTCACTGTCTCAAAGCCTGTGAGAGTGCCATTTAGATTTTGCGTTAGCTCTCCTTTTTTTCCCCAAGAACTTGATAAATATCTCCATAAAAAAAAACACCAGATGAGGAGGAATTGAGATGGCGGCGGTGCATTACTGTCATCACAATAATAGTGCTTTTACTAAATCATCATCTTCCTCAAATCTCTAAAAGATGCGGCTTTATCCACCAATCCTCCCTGCTGCTGCTTTGAATACTGATCAGGGATCAACCGAGACTCCTTTATCTACTGCGTCTGGCTTGCCACCACATCAGAAGTCATTAGAGTGTGTCCATGCTGTAATCTCCATTCGCAATACTTTGTTTTCAAGCTGCCAACACTTGTGGAGATAGAGCGCAATCATGTCTGCTTCCGCGCCGCCCGCAATTACTCTCTGTTCAACACACTTAAGCTGACCTGACTCAGCCGGCTCAGCCACCGAGAAAGAGGGAAGGGCCTTTTGTGATCCTTAATTTCAACTCGCTCGCTGAGGCCGTTCACCCCCATCGAGGAGCCGAGACGAGTCTGCGGCGAGGAGCGTGGATGTCCACGTTATGCAGCCAATTAGGGCAATGTTCCGAGGGTGGCCCCGTTTGGCTGAAATGCTAAAGAGCTCTGCTAAATCTGCCCTTGACGTCCGCGGTAAACAGGGTCACAATTTAAATGTGCTGTTGTTTGTGTGTCCAGTGGAAACGACAGGAGGTAACTGAAAATGACAAAGAGCATGTAGCCTGTGTCCTTGCCACTGATAAGCTGTTGATTTGCAGTGTTATCTTGCACATCTGAGTTTGGCTTCCAAATACTTCTGGCTCTGATATATTTCATCATTATTTTTAATTTCCCAAAAGTAAGCCCTCCAAACTTTTTGTCAGTTTATGCAAGGACACCAAACGTTTGCACTCAGTCAGTCTACCTGCTTCCTCAGGCATCCGACGCCTCAGAGACGGATGGAGTTTGTAGTTCTGCTGCGAGAGCACACATCAGATCTCTTTGCATGTGGTTATCCTCAGGGCCTAAAGCCCCAAGGAGCTCACTGATGTATTTATTTAGATGGGGGGGGGGTTTGAAGGTAAAGGTTGCCTTCTTTTCAAGGGATTGCTGAGCTTGCGCTGCCGTGGAACTACTCGGGTGTTTATTACGGCACCGCCGGCTCTCGTCTTAAGCTCCAGTGAAGGAAAGTGCAGCGATTCCTCTGAAGCCATAAGATGATCTCTTAGCTTGTTGGTCTGGATTACCTCAGACAACCCGCCCTGTCATTCTCTCAAACCTGCCCACAGAAAGGGTGGTCAGAGTGCAGGACAGAGCGACGGACACGGGCTTAAAATTGTGCTAGTAATGCAAGTCTTTATCTTGGCTTAGAGTTTGGAGAGTTTACTTTCGGTGACAGTAGGGTGCAAAAGTACATTCCTTACAACTGGGCTAAAGTTACTTCGTGAACTTAAATACTTTCTCTAAAATCTGAACTAATATCAACTCATTACAAAGAGATTTACCTCCTTCTTTGGATAACGCTAGTCACCTAGCTTATCTTTATATTCCCTTCTTTTCCCTCCTCCATGCCATCTTCTCGAGTCTTCTATGTCATTAACTCTTTTAAATACAAGGACGCGGGGTACAAGGCTTGCAACATGCCGCCTGCTGTTCAGTATATTGGAATGTGACTGTGTGCGGTGTATTTGATACAGTGTGTGTCTGAACGTTGTGTTATCATTTCCAGGACTCAGGGCTTGCTGGTGAAGCGTCTGGAGCGCGGGGGGAAAGCCGAGCAGGAGCGTCTCTTCCAGGAGAACGACTGTATTGTCAAAATTAACCAGGGAGACATCCGCCACCTGCGCTTCGAACAGTAAGCTCTAAAGTTGACCCTCTGCGGCTATGTTGGCTTTCACTAACTTCAGTATGCCCCCCTTCTTGTCAGGTCCTCTGAACGCCATGCTGGTTTTTTTTTCTTCCAAAGCCAGCACACATACGGCGTTATCCTGAAGCGCTGTCCTTCCAGCAGTTCATTCTGAGAGGCCCTGTGCTGGACAGTAAACAATGTCGCTGTTGATAAGTGGAGCCCAACCGTCAGGGAGACGGGACACCCACACAGCTGCACAATAAAACTGAAATATTACTGACTTTGTTGGCCTTCCTGTAATAGGTCTCAGTGACCTGCAGTCCTTCACCACTGCTTCGCACCGCCCTGATCCGAAACCACCTACACTCCTCTCTCAATTCATTTCTATCGATTCATCGCTCCCCATTCATTTCCTAAAGTGGAATGAAGATATAAACCTGTGACTTTTCCACCCATTTATACAAAGCCACCCTTCTTCCTCACAGACACACACACACACACGTACGCCTGACACACGCACAGCTACACCGAGCTATAACGTCTTATCTACACTCCTGCGTGTGTGTGTGTGTATGTGTGTGTGTGTGTGTGTGTGTGTGTGTGTGTGTGTGTGTGTGTCAGGCTGAGAAATAGATTGCTTCTCCTCCAGGCTGCCTTCTGGAGGCAGCGTACGGGGATCTGCTCTGCTCTCTCCCTTATCATCCACTCCTCCACGTGAAGAAATAGCCCTGATTCCTGCTAACGAAAGCCCAGCCCACAGTCATACTGGCCTGGACATAGTCATCTTAAAAACCACTGGGCTTATAGAGCCACCCTGCTGGATGACTGACAGAGACCAAGTTTGGAATCCCTCTGTGTTCAGAAGTAGAGACTAACCATTTATTTCTTTACTCTATTACTATCAAAATTCATTTTTATCTAGGCCTGGCATGTCTACAGTTTTATAAGCAGCTAATAAAAGCCCCTCGTAAGAAACCATTGTGATGAACTCCAGACTATCACGGTTACCTTCCCACATTATGTTAATGTATTCATCCGAGCGTGCACAGAGCCACTAAGGTTTTAGGATTTTGTCTTTTTTCTTTATCAAAACGATGCTATTGTCATTAGTAAACATCCCAGTTTCTTTCCAAGCCTTCTCTACTGTGAAAGAGGCTTACAAACCAAATCCACTAGGGAGTGATGTTTTTAGCGTTCCGCACGTACCCCCCCAACCCCACCAAACACTCGCTCCTCACCAGCATCCAAATGCATATGATGTTTGCTATTCTGCATGAAAATGAGGCAATGGAGCTAAACTTTTTCTCCCCGCCTGCC